CTCTGTTCACACAGTGAACAGCATTTTTTTAGTCTCCCAGATTACTCAAAGTGCTCTATACAACATTTTCCCTAAACTGAGTGCTTCCTAACTACATTCATTCACACTCCTGACATGCAGACTGGAGGAGCCAGGGATCGAACCACTAACCCTCTGAGGTGACCCGCTCTACCTGCTGAGCTACAGCCACCGGAAGATGTCGGACTCGACCTTTTAAAAACGAGACTTGACCTGGAGAGCTCTGCTCTGCACAGTGTGCATGGACTGTTGGTCCTGTGTGCAAAGGGCAAATACAAATCTGTAATCTTCATTGTTAAAGTTGTACAGGAGGAAAAAACTCGATTATTCAAATACCAAACTGTAAACCTTAAACTGAACAGGTTAGACGTTGACACTGAAGAACACGTTTTGCAGTAACATATATAGTGATGTATCACCTTTTTAAGTGCAGTTGAACTTTCAATATCTTTATTCAGAGATATTTTGTGCTGCAAAGTGGGACTAAAAGTTACCATAAACGTTGTCATGAGACAAAAGCTGCTATTGAATAAGAGCCAATTACATGCAGCCTGTTTCTGGCAGTTAATTGTGATAAATTGTCAGAAATTGCATCTATTGCTGTCTACATGTTATAAAAATCCACAGTTAACTATTTGTGCTGAGCAACCTTCCTGCTCTACAGGAACCATAACCCACTGATAAAGACTCACTCAGACTGATGCCACATGTTGGCACAATTTATGAAATAAATATTAATGATATTCCCGTAACGTTTAAATGTTTAAATATTGAAACTTTGTGTCCATAGTTGATCCTCTGTATCATTTCTACCCTCAGCTGCTGCTGTAGTATGGATGTCGTGCTTTGACAGCACAGCATCAACAAAGAGCTGAAAACATGTTGGTCCACACTCACATGACAAGTGTCAGCGGCACATCCATGATCTACTATTCCACTAGCCTCAGATGACTCTGGCACATTGTCGTGGGAACACTTTGGTCATAAATGGACGGGCGTGGTCATAAATGGATGGGCGTGGTCATAAATGGATGGGCGTGGCCAGCAACAATATTTGTCAGGGTGTTTTGAGTTTCCTGTGCTTTTTGTCACTTTGTATTGTGAGTTATGTTCTCATTGTTGGTCTGTAGTTACTCCCTTGAGTGTAGTTTGTGTGTTGTGTGCCTGGTATTTCCCTCTGTGTGTTATTTATCATCTCTAGGTTCTTATAGGTTCTCTGGTTTATGTCTCTGTGTTTCTTAGTTGCTCTGTCTCCAAAGTGTCTAGTCCGCGTCTCAGCGTTATACTTCCTGTTTTACTCTGAAGGTCTGTGTCTGTGTATCCTGCTTTGCTTCTCTGTCTCGTCAGTTCTGATTTCCTCCAGCTGTGTCTCCTTCTGTCTCATTCCCGACACTTTTGCCCAGAGAGGTGGATGTTTTCTCTTTGTCTCTATGGATGGTTGTGCGTGGGAATCCAGTAGATTTAGTTTCTGAAATCCTTGGACCAGCTTGTCTGGCTCCACCAACCACATACCTCACAGTCCATCAACAGGTGTGTGTAGCTTGTGCAGCAGCATGTTTGGTTGCTGCAGTGCCATCATGTGGACAGAGTGATAATGACAGGAGGAGGCAGGAGGTCACATGAGCTCAGA